CGGATCCCGGGACGTTTATTTTGATGAAGAGTCAGTGGGGGGTAGGGGGACCCACCACCTACCCGCTGCCCGAGAAAGACGTCGCCGGCAGCGGGCAGCCGGCGGGCAGGCGACTGCCCGCCGGGCACCCGCTGCCCGGAGACCTTACGCCGGCGGGCAGCCTGCGGGTGGTCCACCACCCACCGGCTACCCGCTGGAAATTGCCCACTTCGGGACTCCTGCTTCCCCGTTTGATGTTTCCCCGACCCTCGTGGTGTCCCAACGGACTCCGTTTATCGTGCCTAAAGTCTAGTTTGATGTTTCGGGTACCATTCGTAGGATAAATGAGTCTTATATATATCGCATGCTAGTTGAATTGGTATCCCGTTGGCCTAGGTGAAAGAAGTATGAACCCCTTAGGATTATTCCTAGTATGTGGATGACCACGCATAGGTTTCATTATACGTTTTCTCCCCTCTCCCAATATATTAATATGGGTTGCATGTGCTTGTTATGTGTTATGTGTGCATGATACCCCAATTTGGTTGCGATCAAATTGGTTATTCCTGAGCTGCGGTTCAGAAGCTGGCTGCGGTCAGAATTACACTCTTGGGCTGCGGTCCACCGTTTGGTTGCGATCAAACGTTTTACATGAGCTGCGGTTCATATTTCTGGCTGCGGTTAGATGACTACTCTTGGGCTGCGGTCCACTGTTTGGTTGCGATCAAACATTATGATGAGCTGCGGTTCATCGGTCGGTTGCGATCGACCCCTTCGTATTGCGATACGAGGCAGGGTGCTGCGGGGCCGTGTCAGAGCTATATGCGCTGATCCTCATGTATGGGCATGCGATTGGTCCTGTGGCGCCACCAAAGTGTGCTTGTGTGTGATGAGATACGAATTGAGATGATGATATGACTGAGATGAAGTGAATCTGTGACCATAGGATATATGCTAGTATCTCTATATGTTTGATTATAACTGTTGAATGTGCTTATCCCTATCTGTCGAGTCTATTCTTGGTTTTAAAAGTAGTGTCTCCTAAGTATATAGCTTCCTGCTTCAAAATGGTTTTCGTATATCTATATATAACTATCTATAATGTATTTCAACGCGTTGGAGTGGGTTACCAGCATCTCCCGCTGAACAGATATATTTGGCTTTCAGGCACAGAGAAGTAGACACTGGAGCGCGCTAGAGATTTGGAGCGTAGAGTAGATAGTTTTCCCTTTCGGCCTGCGTGTCATGCTTCTGTATTTACATTATCGAGGATATTAGTTAGTTGGCCTGTGCACCTGGGTTCTCTAGCCCAGGTGTGGCATAGCACCCCGTACTCTATTATATTATGTTTTGAGATTTAATAAGAATTTACCTTCATTATATAAATTTCAAAAGTTTTAAAATTTCGGGGTGTTACAGTTGGTATCAGAGCCTAAGTTTGACCGTAGGATAAAACTCTTAAAATCAGACTTTAGGACAATAGGCTTGAACTCTAAGTATTTAGGAACATAGGACTCAGGAATCTTAAGATGCGCGGTGAGATTGTGAAACCTACACATAACCTCCCCTCACTTTATCCCTCCCTAATTTAAAAAGAACTTCCCCTACGCTTACCACACCAAGGTAAGGGTGCAACACACTGACTCATCATTACAATAAATAGCCCCGAAAACCATCAGCATGGCACCAACAAGAAGTCAGTCAAGGACCCCACACTCCTCGAAGAATGGATCCGGACCTTCGACAAGATTCTAGGATTGGTAGAATGCCCAGAGGAACGTCGTGTAGAGATAGCCTCATTCTATTTCGGACACGAGGCAGACCTTTGGTGGATCCACGAGGGGCCCACGTACAGACAGGAACCAGGGTTCGACTGGGAAAACCTCAAAACACAACTACGAGAACGATTCTATCCAACACACGTAAAAGCATCCATGCACGAAGAGTTCCTCCACTTGAAACAAGGAACGACCACCGTCATGGAATATCATAAACGATTCCTCGAACTAGCGCGCTTCGCACCAGAACTAGTCCCCACTGAGGTAACCAAAATAGAAAGGTTTGTATCGGGTCTCAACTTCGAAGCCCGCAAAGCACTAGTAGTAAGCAGACCCCGGACCCTCAACGAGGCTTACTCCAGTGCCGCAAATCTCTATCGGATCCAATTACTGCAACGTGGGGTTCAGGAACAAATTCGAAAGAGGAACACAGGAGGTGGAGCACCACCTATAAAGAGAACGAGAAACGACGCTAACACAAGGCCAAGCCATCCAGTTGGCCAGAGGCCACCCCTAGGAAACAACGAAACTAACGTAAGGAGCTTCCCTTGCCCAAAATGCAACAAAAACCATAGAGGCAAAGATTGCATGGGCAACCCCTGGCGATGCTTCAACTATGGGGAAGAAGGGCACAAGGCCTTCCAATGCACTCAACCCCAGAAATCACGCCCCACAACCATGGGCCAACACGGGGGCACGAATCATCAAGGAAACTACGGTGCCCCCGGAAAGGTGTTCATCATAAGCCGCACCTAGGCCGAACTCGAGAACGAAAGCAACCTCGAGGAAGGAGACATGGCTCCATGGGACGAGGACCATGCAAACCCACCAGAAGAAAACCAAGGAGATGAATTCTGCTTAGGATAACTAGCAAATTCCTTGTAACCACCCTCGTAGTAGAATTACTTGCTTAGATTAGCTATTTCGGAATTATTATAAATAAAGAACTAAATCAGAATTAATTTTAGCATAAGGGAAAAATACTAGATTATGCACAAAAGGGGACAAAAACCAAGTCTTCTACCATTAGGAGACGAAAGAAGGAAAAAGACAAGGGTCACACAATGGAAAAGACTAAGTGTCACCAATGGGAATTGAACCCTAAACCTCCCACTTAAAAACCCAAGTCCTTAACCACTAAGCCATGAGTATTTCTTAAAACCTTAAGGGAACACTCCCTTCTTAAACCCCTACAAATCCCTAAAACCCACAAAAATCCCCAAATCAAAAACCCTTCTTCTTCTTCCACATTCCCCCACCCCCTCTCTCTCTCCCTTCCTCTCCCTCTCACCTCCCCGCCGACCCAACAACACCCCAGCAACCACCACTGCCCGTCGCCGTCACCAGCCGAGTCGCCGCCGGCCACCCAGGCGACGCACCACCGCACACCACCATCGCCACCCGGAGGCAACCCGCGGCGCCACCACCGTCCGTCACCCACCCGGACACACCCCGCTGCCACATGCCTCACCACTGCTCGGTTCCGCCCAAGACCACCGCCAGCACGTCGAGCCATCGCCAGGACCAGACCCCGGCGCCGCCCGCTCGCCGTCGAGAAAGCAACGCCACCGGGAGCTCGCCGGAAGTTCATCGGAAAACACTACCCACCCAAACATGCCGAAAAAGCCCCTCGGAACCCGCACCCCAGAATGGAGCAGCGCCGACTACACCGTGATTGGAGGTAAAGCTCTTGAACCCGACCAATTCTCTCCGGAGTTGGTCGACATGCTTAACTTCCAAGGGCTCTTGGATACGTATCTCACCATAAAGGGGGATACATACCTCGAATTGGTGAAAGAGTTCTATCGTCACTTGGTGGCCGTCAAGCGAGGTGATAAATTGGAAATCACCGCCAAGGTCCGAGGCAAGGAAATCATACTTTCCGAAGGCCGCTTGGCCAAGCTCTTAAAACTGACCACCACGGGTGTGTCAGACTACGACCGAAAGGGGTGGATCGGCACCCAAAACCTGGGGTACAAGGACTACCTCGGGTACCTACTCGGAAAGGAGGAAGGGTTCACCTCGGCCACACGACCAAATAGGAAGTGGCTAACTGCGGAGCAAAAGATATTGGTTATGATTGTGACTGACAGCCTTTTGCCCACAAATAATAAAAGCAAAGACGTGGGGAGTTTAGAGTGCACTTTCGCCTATCTCTATAATGTATTTCAATGCGTTGGAGTGGGTTACCAGCATCTCTCGCTGAACAGATATATTTGGCTTTCAGGCATAGAGAAGTAGACACTGGAGCGCGCTAGAGATTTGGAGCGTAGAGTAGATAGTTTTCCCTTTCGGCCTGCGTGCCATGCTTATGTATTTACATTATCGAGGATATTAGTTAGTTGGCCTGTGCACCTGGGTTCTCTAGCCCAGGTGTGGCATAGCACCCCGTACTCTATTATATTATGTTTTGGGATTTAATAAGAATTTACCTTCATTATATAAGTTTCAAAAGTTTTAAAATTTCGAGGTGTTACAGGAGGCACAAAAGAAATTAGGTTATCATGAATATTAAAAAAAATTCAAAAAATAAAAGGCAATAAACTGTATGATATAAAGCTATCCTTATTCATGCAATACCCTCCCACTTTTAAAAGTGGATCCACTTTCACATCATCAAATTTGAAAATTCTTTACTATTTTCTCTATATCCCTGCAATACTCTCTCACTTTCAAAAGTGGTCCACTTTCATGCATTTTGATGTAGTTTTATATACTAATTAGTGTTTTAGTTGTGGATGCACCGAAGAAATTAGGTTATCGTGAATATTAAAAAAAATTCAAAAAATTAAAGGCAATAAAATGTATGATATAAGGCTATCCTTATTCATGCAATACCCTCCCACTTTAAAAAGTGGATCCCACTTTCACATTATCAAATTTGAAAATTCTTTACTATTTTCTCTATATCCCTGCAATACTCTCTCACTTTCAAAAGTGGTTCACTTTCCTGGGTTCTGCATTTTGGAAGAATAAATATATAATAAAGTAATATATAAAAAAATAAAATAGGAAATGAAACTATAAAAGTCAAGCTTGTAAGCTTCTTATTATAGCAAGCTTGCAAGCCACATAAGCTAACAAAATAAAACAAAAAAAAAAATTAAAAAAATTAAAAAAATTAAAAAAATCACATTACCTTTCATATAATCTTGAAAGGGGTTTACTTGCTGGGATAAGGATAACCTAATAATATAGTTGAACATTCTATATATTTGGTCAATTGTGTATTTTATAACATACAAAATTTAAACTAATTTGTTTTACGGTTAATATAGTCAATAGTTATGTACATATTTAGATAAATTTATAAATGAAATATATATTTATTCTTAATTATATTTTATATATTATAATTTCAACAATATGAATAATAATTAATGAAATTATACTTAGAAATCAAAAGATGTAAAATTTAAATTTTGTATGAGACGATTTAGACTCTAATATGATGTATTTTCTTATACAATTGTATAATGCATTGTATGTACACATAATATTTATTAATATGTATTCAGGCAAATTTTATAAAATAGTTTTCTTAAATATAATTTATATTGTTAGATTTATATATACTTAAGATAATTGCATTTAAAATTAAAATTTAATATTTTAAATCTATATGATTAATATAGTGAATAAGTATATGGATGTATTTAGCCATATTTCTAAGTATTTATGAATAACATTGAGGTTATATAGTTATGGAATAAAAATTATAATTAATTTTATAACTTCATGTCCATAATTATATTGCACATTGCCTTAATTATAATTAAGGAAATTACACTTAGAAATTAAAAGAATTTAATTTCTAAATTTTGTATGGTTAATGTTTTTTGTTTTTTTTTTTTGTTTTTTTTTTTTTTTAAGAAACACCACAAGATTTCATTAAAATAAGTGTTCAATACATGAGGGAATGGAAGACAACCAACAAAGAGGACCAGATTGAGAACGAGTGGCCCTTGCCAAAGCATGGGCGAACTTATTCACTGATTTAGGAACAAACTGAAAAGACACTACTTCAAAGTGTCGTTGATAAGTCTGGCACTCACTAATCACACATCCTGGATATGAATAATCTGGTGATGTACCATTCATCAACTTACAAACGGCCTGGCAATCAAAATAAATCAATACCTTTGTAAAACCTCTCTCCTAAACCCATGAGAGAGCTTCCTTAACGACAAGAGTTTCCGCTAAGTGCGGGTCATTCAAGCACCGGATATGATCGTTATTGGATGCCACAAACCCACTATTCCTGTCCTTCACAAAAACCCCAAAATAAGCATTGCATGAGTCCGGGAAGACCGTACCGCCTCATCTACATAAACAAACATCATATCTTCGCTAACCAATGGAAAATTAACAAAAACTGGCACATTTGTTCTGTGATTCTCCCCCTGAACCAATCTTTCCTGACAATCAAGATAGAGATTAGATGCCTCCACTTTAATTCTAGTTGGCTGCCAAGATTTACGGTTCCAAACAAACCCATTCCTACCTTTCCAAATACACATGGCAATGCATTTTAGCTTAGCTTCAATACCAGCTTGGGATAACCATCTCGAGAGCCAAGACACGAAGTCATCATCCATTGCAGGAGGGGGACAGTCCACCCTGTTGGAAAACATAGCAGCAACGTCAACGTGCGGCTAGAAAGCTTTTAAGGAACCAGGACAACACGAGTGTAAGACTGAAAGGGAGTCTGTGTCATGTTATAATAACACTAACACTACCTTAAAAGTGTTATTTGCCCGGTAACGGTGCAGTCAGAACCCTGACACGCTTTCGACAGGTTACATAGACTAAATACGCTTAGTTCGCACCAACTATAGTGTAGGTGAACCTGACTTTGCTCAGATGATTACACAGAGGGAATAAAGAAAGAAGGATAAGAAGATGATTGTTGAGTGTGTTTTGATAAAGGTGGTAGGATGTGATACCCCGAAAATCCAATCCTTAAATAGAATTAATTATGTAATTAATTCTAAGCCTTCTCATGAATTTCCCCTTCCAGTTCTTTAATTGAAAGTCGGAGGACTTAAATTGACCAATCCCTTGATCAATTGACTAATTCAAAAGAAAAAGGGACTTTGAGCTTTATAAGTTGTACATGGCCTTTTGTCTTCCTAGCCTTTTTAGTAAGGGTATGCTTGTCTTTTCACATTTTCTTAGCATTCAAGCCTTTCCCTGGCAAGATCACATTTCATTTCCCTCATTTGGCAAGACACTCTAAACTCTCCACCTTCTCTCTAGAACAGTAGCTTTCTTCCCAAGCCAAGTAAGTCCACCTTCTTCCTTGCAAGGAAACTCTTCAAGATTGCACATTTCCACCATTAAAGCATTAGGAAGGGTAAGATCTTAACTTAGCTAGTGTTTTTGGTTAGTCTTTCATGGTCCTTATCTAAGAATGGTTTTCTTTGTGTGGTTATTGGTTTTGTTGAGAAGATTTGAGTGAGGAGGAACTCCAAGGAGAAGTCTAGGAGTCTAAGGAACAGATTTGTGGTCTACAAAGGTAACCCATACTTTACAAAACCTATTTTACACTTGTTATGATGATTTCTTGACATTCTATGGTTGTTTTTGATGTTGTGAGTGATTTGATGCATAATCTTGTGTTTATGCATGTTTAGAGCGCGTATCTAGGGTTCATAAATTCTATTCTTTGAGATATTCATGTGTTCAAGTCATTTCCTTGTTGAGTGTGAGATTTGTGGTGTTTTGGACTTGGACTTGGCATTGTTGATGTTTTTCTCCAAAGGGAAAATGGTGGGTACAGGAGTGTACCCGCGGGTGGCTGTCCACTCGCCGTTCCACCCGCGGGTGGTGTGGCTTGCACCGGCGGGCAGAGTCGTGGGTGGAGGCCCACCCATGGTTCCACCCGCTGGTACGTGTAAAAGGGGGTCGGCGGGTGGTTGTCCACCCACCGTTCCGACCACTGGTACGTTGTGTTTTGGCCTCTGTTTTGTTGAATCCTTGTGTAATTGTGTGTCTCCTTTGATGTTTCGTACGTCTAGAACGGTGTCCTAAGTATCTGTTATAAGATTGGGAGTCTTGAATCATGCTTACGGTCCACCTTTGTGATTCGTTGGATTAATGTGAAAGTGTTGACATTCGATTGAACCGTTATGTTTCTCCTTTTGATGCACATGCTAGTTAAGATATTGATTGATGCTAGTATGCGTTTTTCCTTCGTTGTCTTGTGATTATTGGCAACTTGTGTTGTTAATCATGTTAACCTTTGGATTAAGGTCTATTGTTGCTGTATCGTAATTTGATGGTTGAATCATATCCTTCCTTGAATTTTATCGATTGATTCCTTGACATGATCTTGTGCATATGTTGTTTACGTTCGTTGATGCTTGATTGGACTATTGATGAGCCTCAATCCTCTTGATGATGACTATGTGTTACTATGAGATTGGTGGTATTGTTACTGAGCTTTGCTCATGAGATCGGTGGTATGTTACTATGATATTTAATGGTACCCTCGTGTATTGAGAGTTCGGCGGTATAATGATTGGTGGCATGATTGGTGGGGGACGATGGTCCCAGGGGGAATAAGGTTGGACTCGATGTACAGGGTGGCACTCGGTGGTAAAGGTTGGAACTGAAATAAGGCCGGGTGTAGCCATAAGGTTGGAACAGGGCATAAGGTTGGAACTAGTCATTTGATATGTGATCTTTGAATTATCTTGTTTGGAAAGTATGACTTAAGTTGAATATGGTATTGTCTTTCATTGCTAATGAGCATGCTTGGTGTTATCTCTTGGTCGGTGATCGTATGGTGTCTTATTGAGTTATTAAGTAACCATTATTGTTGGTCTTTGATTGAGAGTATACATGATGAGTCTTATGATGTCTCGATTCCTCGTTTTGAAAGATTATATATTCTATTCCACTGTCTAAACTGATTTTCCCTATACTTATACGATATGATACTTAACGTGTATTGGTGGGTACCAACATTCTTCGCTAACGGGTGCTACCCTTGTGTTTTCAAGTGATGAGTAGTTCCCTCGAGTGCGCAAGAAGACGGATAGATAGCATAACTCCTTTATGTCCTTTAGTTAGACTTGTGGCATGTGTGCCTTGAATATTATGACTTTGTTGATGAATGATGATTTGGTTAGACTTTAGCCTGTGCACCTATAGTTGTATAGGTGTGGCATAACGCTTTCCCGATTTTTATGAGTTTAACTTCCGCTTTATTTAATGTTTAGATGTTATCTCTTTCTTAAGCTTAACGGTTTTAAAATATGCCTAAAATCTGGCGTGTTACACAGGAGCAGTTTATATAATAAACAACTCCTCCACTCCTGCCACATAAGTGAGAGAAAGGTGCTGGCAATAATAAAATGAGAGGCTATGAAAAAGTCAGCCACAAACAAATAAGAGGTTGTGGTATTTTCTCTTTAATTTTCCAACAAACTCTCTATCTCTCTCTCTCTCTCTCTCTCTCTCTCTCTCTCTCTCTCTCTCTCTCTCTCTCTCTCTCTCTCTCTCTCTCTCTCTCTCCCTCTCTCAGGATTTTCCCACAATCCCCCACAAATTCTGAGTTGAGACGCAAAGACTTGTCTAAGCTATTCACAAGAAATGATGATCCCCCATATATTCAAAGTAGAAGGCTAAAGAAATAATGTCTGAGCAATATAAACAAGTTGATCTTAATGTCAGTGTTTGAGAACTTGAACTGACACATAGTGACACTGAGTAATTTTCTTCCCAAGAGTGATATGAATCTTGAACTAACCAGTTAGATAAATTTTGAACTCTAATGCACACACCAACTCTAATAAGTTGGTTCTACGAAAGTCAAACTCTTTAACTTCTTATGAATACCCCTAGTATTCAAGTTTGTTATGTCTATCTTAATATAGACCTCCATCCTGTCAAGATCTATCTCAACATAGACTTTTAACTCTGACAAGTCTTATCGCATTATAGATTTTTATGTCTTGTCAAGTCCATCTCAATATGGACTTAAAACTCTACCAAGTCTATCTTAGTATAGACCACCTTTAAAGGCTTATACAGTATTTAAAGACATAAATCAGTTGTAAGTCTTTTCCTTCTATCATAGTGTAACAACCCAAAATTTCATTTTATAAATCCGGTATTAAGAAATCCCAAAATAGCCTTATTCACTCCATTAAAATTTTTTGCGATCAATCGGTGTTTGAATAAAATATTTTCGTTACATTTTAAATTAATTTGACACCAAAAATGGATTCTATTCGAAAATTTCTAAGTTTTCGGGTATTTCGCGTAACAAGATTTAAATCGAGAAATTTATCTGAGTGCGACCGGGAGAATTCAAAAAAGATTTTAAACAAGTGTTCATCCAAATAGCTTTTTGAGAAAATTCATTTTCAACCCCAAGGTATTTAAAGTTAGCATTTCTAGCCTTGGTCCATGATACAAGGTGAACCATTCCATTTCAAAAGACTTTGCTGAGAATTCATTTTATGCAAGCTTTTACCATTTTTCCCTCAACCAATCATTGGCCTTCTACCTAGGGTTTTGGACTCTATATAAACCCCATTATTCCATCTTGATTCCCTGATCTCTTTCTTTGCCTCTCTACACAAATTGTCTGCCAAGAGAAAGAGAGAAAACGACATCACAGTAAGCTCATTTCATTCTTCAATCCTAGCCTTCATTTCTCTTCTAGTTTCTTTTAATCTTTGAGGTTCTAGGCTAAGGTTGTATGTTGTGTTTGAGAAGTATAGGTGGTGAAGGAGGCTCAAGCTAGATAGAGAGGAAGAAGAGATCCAAGCTAGAAGAGAGACGACAAGAGGTATAACCCCATGGATTCTTCTTTAAAATTGGCTCTGTGAAGCCTTAGTTTTAAGTAGAAATGAGTAGAAACTATGAGCTTTTGATGTGTTCATGCTTAGAAGTGATTTAGTATTTGTTTGTGAGTTGTTGAGATTATTTTAGACTTGTTTGGATTGGTTTCTTTTGCAGATGAAAAACTTTCTGGTGCACAACACAGTGTGCACCAGATCAGATGAACGGCCCTAGCCGCGGCCCATCAGGAGGGGCCGCCGGCTATAGCCGTGCATACACGGGACTAGGGCAAGACCCTAGAGGAGGGCCGCTGCCTAGTCCCGGTGAAGTAACGTGGTGTGAGGGGCGTACCATGAGGAGTCCCGTCCCAGGCCCCTGACTTTGATTTTGAGAAGAATCTGTGCAGTGGCCGGGCCCTTGTGGCTCAGCTACGTGTCGTTTCGGGCCGAGTGTTACGGGCCCTTGTGGCTCGGCTCTTCGGGATCGTCTCTGTAACACCCCCGAATTTCAACAACTTTTAAAACTTAATTTAAAGGGATTAAAGTCTAAACACCAACATAAGAAAAGTGGAAGCTAACTACACAAATCCGGGAGATGTTATGCCACAACTACACAACATTAGGTACACAGGCAAACACTAACTACTAAGCATTCTAACAGTTCAACTACTTTGACTCACAAGCCTCAACAACTAATAAAGGAAGAAATCTAATCTATCTACAGGCCACTAGCGCGCACTCCAAATCTACTCAACCTGTAAAAGATAAGGGATAACACCCGGTCATCGAATAATGCTGGTAACCCATCAACACACATTAAGTATCATAATATACATAGATATAATCAAAACCATTTGAAGCTGGGAATACAGTATATATCATTTTAAAGCTGAGAGAGATGAAACATCAATAGACTCATTAATCACTCACAACAAAGAACCAAGACCAACATACTCAACAAGATAATAGAACCACAAGCAACAAGCTGAACAACAAGGTACAACATTCGACACACAACGAAGGATTAACAATAGACATGCTCTTAAGCAATGGAAAGCCAGATTCACACCATAACGAGTTCCAAGTCCACATAGGACACCATCACACCAAGTCATATACCGTCGAGTCAGCACCACGGCTCGATTCATAGTGGATCAGTGTGGAGGGCTCCAAATCATCAACAAACATGTATCACGTAGTCATCGCAACGACCCGGATCACATGCATAGTGTCATTTCAATGACAAGGACCGCAGTCGAATGGAAACAGATCTAGTAACCTTAAGTGTATACACCCCCTATTGAGATTCCAAGCTCAACGGGTTAGCTACTATCTCTGGGAACGGGGATGAGTTTCCCATGTTGCCCACAAGTCACAAGTAACCTAACGGCCATCCGAAGCTTTCAACCCACTACCGGTCCATTCACACATAAGTCCCCACACTGTCCACTATACCAGCTCAATCATCTCTTTACATCAATCCATCATCTCAACAAGGGTCAATACACATGGAATCTAGAGATACAACAACACCTAGATTCCACACCAAGTGTGTACAACAAGGATAAGCTCAACAATGGCTTAATCAAGGAATAATCATACACACGGGATCCCATCAAGGGATCCAAGTAAGGGGATTCAATGAAGGACATGAAACGATACTCAACAACAACAATGGACCTCAATCTAATATCAACATGATTGGCAACACGAGTTGCCAATCCTCAATAAAAAGGGACAAACAACACATACTAACATCAATGACACCAAGACTAGCATGCATATCCAACGGGTAAACCAAAATAGTTCCAACGAACCACAAAGACTCAACATCAATCCAACGAATCACAAGGTTGGATCATTAGCACGATTCAAGACACCAAATCCTAACATGGATTCCTAACTCACCGTTCTAGACATATGAAACATCGAGAAGACTCACAAAAGCTCAATAATTCAACAACGGGAGGTCAAAACATCAAATACCAAGAAGAAAGGATCACGGGGAACAAATCCCCGCAACCCACATATATGTTCCCCGCGGGTGGGGCCACGGGTGGACAACCACCCATGGTTCCGCCCGCGGGTACCAAGCCCACGACACCTCGTTCCCCGCGGGTGGGGCGGCAGGTGGTGCCATGCCCGCCGTTCCGCCCACGGGTACACCATGTACTCCAAAATAATCCCTTCGGGGATTTTCAACAACAAGTCCAAATTCAAGTCAAAAACACCCAAAATCTCACACAATACAACAATATGACTTGAACCCAAGAAATAGCCAAACAATGGCATACAAGAACCCTAAGAACAAGCTATAAACATGCATTACCACAAGACAATGCATCAAATCTCGCATTTCAACACAAGAATCACAAATAGAAGCCAAGAAATCATCAAGAAAATAGGTTTTGTAAAGCATGGGTTACCTCTTGTTGACCAAGAACACATTCTTCAACTTCAAAGCAAGACCAAAGCTCCTCTAGATCAACCTAAAACTTCACCCACAGCTAGATCTTCTACAAACTCCCAAAACCTAAAACTTCACCCACCGCTTCTGAAGTCCTTGCATGACGTCTCGATGGTGCCATCCTTGACTTCTACAGAAACAGCACGATCACGGGAGGAAACTTAGAGCCTGCACCCTTACCCGGTGCCTTAACTTAAAAGAACGAAAGCAGGAAGAAGAACAAAGCACAGGAAGCATTACAGAAAACGATAAGAGAACTCATAATCTCACCGCGCGTCCTAAGGTTCCTAAGACTTAGGTACTTAAACACTTAGGATTCGAGCTTAACTTCTTAAGGTCTTATGCTTAAAAGTACTAACCTAGGTTCCAATCTAGGTTCTTAAAGTCCAACTCTTAACATCCTAGGCTCAAACCTAGGCTCTGATACCAACTGTAACACCCCTGAATTTCAACAACTTTTAAAACTTAATTTAAAGGGATTAACAGTCTAAACATCAACATAAGAAAAGCGGAAGCTAACTACAAAAATCCGGGAGATGTTATGCCACACCTACACAACATTAGGTGCACAGGCAAACACTAACTACTAAGCATTCTAACAGTTCAACTACTTAGGCTCACATGCCTCAACAACTAATAAAGGAAGAACTCTAATCTATCTACAGGCCACTAGCGCGCACTCCAAAGCTACTCAACCTGTAAAATATAAGGGATAACACCCAGTCAACGAATAATGCTGGTAACCCATCAACACGCGTTAAGTATCATAATATACATAGATATAATCAAAACCATTTGAAACTTGGAATACAGTATATATATCATTTTAAAGCCGAGAAAGACGAAACATCAATAGACTCATCAATCACTCACAACAAAGAACCAAGACCAACATACTCAACAAGATAATAGAACCACAAGCAACAAGCTGAACAACAAGGTAAAACATTCGACACACAACGAAGGATTCACAATAGACATGCTCATAAGCAATGGAAAGCCAGATTCACATCATAACAAGTTCCAAGTCCACATAGGACACCATCACACCAAGTCACATACCGTGGAGTCCGCACCACAGCTCGATTCATAGTGGATCAGTGTGGAGGGCTCCAAATCATCAACAAACATGTATCACGTAGTCATCGCAACGACTCGGATCACATGCATATTGTCATCGCAATGACAAGGACCGCAATTGAATGGAAAAAGATCTAGTAACCTTAAGTGTATACACCCCCTATTGAGATTCCGAGCTCAACGGGTTAGCTACTATCTCTGGCAACGGGGATGAGTTTCCCATGTTGCCCCCAAGTCACAAGTAACCTAATGGCCATCCGGAGCTTTAAACCCACTACTGGTCCATTCATACATAAGTGCTCACACTGTCCACTTTACCAGCTCAATCATCTCATCACATCAATCCATCATCTCAACAAGAGTCAATACACATGGAATCTAGAGATACAACAGTACCTAGATTCCACACCAAGTGTGTACAACAAGGATATGCTCAACAATAGTTAATCAAGGAATAATCATACACACGAGATCACATCACGGGATCCAAGTAAGGGGTTTCAATGAAGGACATGAAATGATACTCAACAACAAGAATGGACCTCAATCCAATATCAACATAATTGGCAACACGAGTTGCCAATCTTTAATAGAAAGGGACAAACAACACATACTAGCATCAATGACACCAATACTAGCATGCATATCAAACGGGTAAACCAAAATAGTTCCAACAAACCACAAAGTTTCAACATCAATCCAACGAATCACAAGGTTGGATCATTAGCACGATACAACACACCAAATCCTAACATGGATCTCTA